AACACCAGGCACTCCAGGTCAACCTGGAACAGGCGGACAACCAGGTCAACCAGAACAACCTGGAACTCCAGGCACACCCGGACGGCCGTGTGAACCACCAAACAATCAGTCTCAAGCAATTTGCAAGGATGCCGGATTTTTCCCCGATCCAGTCGATTGCAGAAAATTCTACAGATGCGTGGATGTGGATGAAAACAACAAGGGTCAAAGGTTTTCAATCTATTACTTTGACTGTGCTCCAGGAACGATATTCGATCCTTCATTAAATACCTGCAATTACGAATCGTCTGTCAGTCCGCAGAGATCATGTCGTACGGAAACAACGACTTTCATCCCCCAAACCACAGATCAGGTAAATTATAATACACTTACAATACGAAGATCGGAATGAGCATTATTTTATTCATTTCATTAGGTTACTATATCCAGCACCGAAACCTCTACCGATTCTACAACGATATCTACTACAGAGACCGACAAAGAAAGTACAACTTTATCATCTACAACAGTTGAGAGTACAACTGTAACATTGATAACAGAGAGCACCACATTAACGCCAACCACCGAAAGCACCACTTTGACACCCACAACTGAGAGTACTACATTTGTATCAACAACAGAGAGTACAACATTAACTCCAACTACAGAGAGTACTACTTTAACACCAACCACAGAGAGCACAACATTAACACCAACTACAGAGAGTACCACCCTCACTCCTACCACAGAAAGTACAACCTTAACATCTACACCTACCACGGAAAGTACTACATTAACTCCAACTACTGAAAGTACCACTCAAACACCAACCACTGAGAGTACAACCTTAACATCTTCACCTACCACCGAAAGCACCACTCTCACACCAACGACAGAGAGTACTACATTGACTCCTACGACTGAGAGTACCACCCTAACACCCACAACGGAAAGCACCACATTGACACCTACCACCGAAGGAACAACTTACAGTTCGACGATCATAACGACAGAGAGTATCACAACCGAGGTGACAACTGTGCCAAGTGGTGAAACGACGACGGCGAGCTGCCCCATCGGACAGTTGGAAGGTGATCAGGTTGCTTTGGTGTGTCCCACCGGATTCAGAAGACATCCGAAGTACTGCAACTTATTCTACCAATGCACCACAAATCGAGACACGTACGAAATGAAAGTGGTGGTCTTGAGCTGTCCCGACAACACCCTCTTCGACGAGAAGAAGGTGCAGTGTCTGCCGGCCGCGGAGACGCGTCCGTGCAGCGGAGAATTTGCAAACCGAAGAATGTATAGGAGATTGGAGGAGAATTCGCTACCACCGGTATGTAACACATCCATATCCTAATAAGAAATAATAGATATAACTATATTTACTATATATTATGTAGATTCCCGTAAGCGGAGGAAGATCGCTCTGTCCGAGGCAAGGAAACAATGTCCTGACCGATGATTGCAATTCGATGTACGTGAAATGCAGCAAGGATAGTGAATACTCGAAGATGCAAGGATACCTTTACCAGTGTCCATCCGGCTACACCTACTACCCGGTGAGCAATTTATGTGAGCGCACGGCGCGGCTGCCCGAGTGCAAGGGTTTGGTGGACCCGCAGACGCAGACACGATGGGACGTGCAGATCGACAGAGAGAGTGTCTCCATGTACAAGAAACGACGCGGCCTTCATCTGTTCGACTAGTTGCCATTTCTAGATCATAAGCTCCTTTAGAAATATTAATTATTAATAATAGTAATCAAACAATGATTACTAACTACCTATTTATTCGGAATTAACTCGACCAGATTGACTTAATTCTCAATAAATACATCAAACGGGGAAACATTTAAAACGAAAAGAGAAACGA